AGATAGATAGATAGATAGATAGATAGATAGATAGATAGATAGATAGAAAGGCAAGGCTCAAAAATAAAGCAGAGAGGGATAGTAAGATAGCTTGGTAGGTAAAGCATTTGCCATACAAGCCTGAGAACCTGAATTGGATCCCTGGAGACTCACATAAAGACAGAAAAAAATAACTGACTCCACAGAATCATCCTCTATGCTACACATGTGCTCACAGGCCCGACACGTCACCCCCCACACACACACAAACTTATAATAAAATTAAGCAAGGAGCTTTCCTCGCTGCCCGGGGATGGGTTCATTCGGCGTTGTTCCTGATTCCCGGCGTAACTTAAAGGGGACACTTACTCAACATCTGGAGCCCTTGATGTCCTGCAGGTGAAGGAGGAGGATGTCCTCAAATTCCTCGATGCAGGAACCCACTTAGGTGGCACCAAGCTTGACTTTCAGATGGAGCAATACATCTACAAAGGGAAGAGTGATGGTATGTATCTACATCATAAATCTGAAGAGGACCTGGGAGAAGCTGTTGCTTGCAGCTCGGGCTATTGTCATTGAGAACCCTGCCGATGGCAGCATCATCTCCTCCAGGAGCACTGGCCAGCGAGCTGTGCTGAAGTTTGCCGCTGCCACTGGAGCCACACCAATTGCTGGCTGCTTCACACCCGGGACCTTCACTAACCAGATCCAAGCAGCTTTCAGGGAGCCACGGCTTCTAGTGGTGACTGGTCCCAGGGCTGACCACCAGCCGCTCACAGAGGCCGCTTACGTCAACCTGCCCACCATCGCTCCACGCAGCACAGATTCTCCTATGGCCTATGTGGACATTGCCATCCATGCAACAACAAGGGAGCTCACTCAGTGAGCCTGATGTGGTGGATGGTGGCCCGGGAAGTACTCCGCATGGGTGGCATTTTCTCCCATGAGCACCCGTGGGAGGTTGTGCCTGATCTTGACTTCTACAGAGACCCAGGGAAGATGGAGAAAGAGGAAGAGGCTGCTGCTGAGAAGGCTGTGACCAAGGAAGAATTCCAGGGTGAATGGACTGCGCCAGCTCCTGAGTTCACTGCCACTCAGCCCGAGGTGGCAGACTGGTCTGAGGGTGTGCAGGTGCCCTCTGTGCCCATCCAGCAGTTCCCTACTGAAGACTGCAGTGCTCAGCCAGCCACTGAGGACTGGCCAGCAGCTCCCACAGCGCAGGCCACCGAATGGGTTGGAGCCATCATTGAGTAGTCCTGGGCTCCTCTGCAGACACCTGAGCAAAGGGGGGAAAGGTGGAAGGAAAATAAAGTTTCTAAAAGCTAAAAAAAAAAAAAAAAAAAAAAAAAGAAAGGATAGAGTAGACAAGTGGATGGTTTGGGTTGGGTTTCAAGAGGAATTACGTAACTCCCACCTGGGGGGAGAATTTTATTTGTCGGGTGGGTCATGTGAGAAGATGAGGCAGGAGGGACCTTTCCAAGAGCAAACTCTTCGGGTATCTTAGGAAAGGAAGGGGGAACAGCAAGTGTAAAGATCCTGAGGACCCAATGTTCTAAGAGCAACAAGGAGACCATTGTGACAGAAACAGAAGCATGTGCATGGGAGCAGAATGAGCAAGATATAAGAACAGCCAAGAATCCAGGAGGAGATGAGCTATCCCTTAGGGAAACCAACAGCAAAGGGAGCCAGTCCCTTTGGGTATTCTAACAGGAGGAGCCGAGCCACTTGTGCGATGCTGGGGACAGCACTCCAGTTGCTAGAGCCAGTATAAAGTAAGGGTGCCTCCAACTCAAGGTCGGGGGAGCATGAGGAAGGCCAGAGGGACTGGGAGGGAGGGCCAGGGGTCCAGAAGGCTGTAATTAAAGAGGCAGAGAGGTGGCTGGTTTGTGAGAAGGACGAACAGTGGGAGGACAGTGGACCCAATTGAGAGAGGACCAAGAACTATGGTGGGGAGGCTTTGCAGAAAACCAGGCCAGCCTCTGTCATCATCACACACACATCCCCAACACACACACACACACACACACACACGCACGCACACACGCACGCACACGCACGTCAGAAGTGGTGGACGAGCTGCTGCCATTGGGACCATGCAACAAACACCTGACTGGCCCAGAATGCTCTGGCCCAGTTTCCCTTTCCTTCCCTGACTCTCTAGTAGCTTCCCTGGCACTGTGTCCCAGGCATCCTTGGGTGGGCAGTGCCTAGGCAGGGCTGAGATGGTACCCAAAGGGGAAACCCCCTTAGTTTCTGTCTCACAGAAGGAACTCAGTAGGGAAACCCCACAAGTCCCAAAAGGAAAGTGGGAGTTTGGGGAAGACCAAGAAACCCCCATGCTCTCTCAGAAGATGGGAAATCAAGGGTGTGGTTGAGGACAGGGTTGTGCTAGAAGGGACGCTGTGGTCAGGCTCCATCCCTGACTATGATCGTTATGGTGCTGGGATTACCGTGGGTCATGGCTGAGTCTTGATCTGACCTCATGCAACCCCAAGCTGGCCACAGGCTGAACCTCAATTCTAGTCGTTGGTTGAGCTCTTATCCTAGCCAACGCCTTCACCTCACCTGAGTCACAGCTTCACTCAGAAATTACACAGCTCTGTCTCTGATGAAGCTCTGAGTCTAACGGTAACCAGCCACAAGGAGAGGATTCACTGATAGCTCTGGCTCCAAGCATAGAACGCGCACACACGCTGGCCTCAGGCTAGGCATTGAGTTCAGTCCTCGACCAAGTTCTGACCCTTGATAGGACTGAGCCCTGATCCTACGTGACTCTGTCCACAGACTGAGCCTTTGTCTGAATAAAGCTGATCACAATACCAGGGCCTTGAGATGGGGCTCCTTCAGCCCTGACACTCCATTATGCCACTCGAATGCCAGCTCTCGGTGCAGCAAACCAGTTCCTGCCAGCCTCGCACATACTCATCCAGCGCCATGGAGCTGTGACTTCCCGCACACTCTTCAGCCATCTGGTAAACCAAATAAGGGTATGGATGAGTCAACCCCACTGAGTCCCCCGTTATGGGTAATTCCCTTACCTGGCCATCTGTCATTCAGGGGACAATGGATGCTTGTGACAGCAGAGAAGCACAAGACAGTTGGGTCTTTTGGGTTCCACTAGTGGACAGACCTATGTGAGTGGACAGAGTCCCCGGGGTGGGGAGGGAAGGAAGGGGCTGGACCTCGGAGCCCAACAGAGGGTCTGGAGCTCAGATGTGCTGAAACCCTAACTTCCCGCCACCCCCCTCTTCACCCTCTGGGAAGGGAAATTACATTTCCCCATTTTAACAAGGACTTAGTGAGCACAAAGCTGAAACTACAAGCAGGACAGAAAGTGAAACTGGGCGCAGCCCCCAATATAAGACCCCCCTATCCAGGAGATGGCCGCATACAGAGGCTGGGCCCTGACATGGGCCAGGTGACAGGAGGCCTTGGCTGGCGTGAGTTGGAAGCTGGGACTGGGCAGAGGGTGGGAGGTTCGGTGGAGCCTGGGAGAGGTTTAACAGGTAGGTTTACAGGTAGGGTTGGGGCAGAGAGCTGAAGGACAATACCTGGGCAAGCTGATGGGCATGGCTGACTGACCATGGCAATGAGACTGGAATAAACAGGCAGAGGGTGGAGCGGTGGAATTATGGTTTTGCTGGGCAAGTGATAGGACGATTTGGCTGAGATGTGTACAGAGGACTGGACGGGTAATCTGGCCAGGGGTAGGTCTAGGCAGACAAATGAAGAGTATAAAAGGAAGAGGAGGAAAACTGAGGACAGTCAGAACAGCCTTAGGGGAAGCTGGTACAAATGGTGACCGGGCCCAAGAGGGAACCCCTCCCGGTAAAGCTCTTTAACTAGAAGCTTAGAAGGTTGCCCAGTCTGCAGCTGGTAGCTGGAGGGCTAGGGGCAGAGCTGTAGGAAGAGGGGCAAGTTGACTGGGTAGGAACAAGAGCTGGAGGATGAGGCCAGGATTCACTACATAAGGGATCTTGGAGGTGATAAGTGAGTATGAGTTGGCACAGCACAGCCAGGAGTCTATTATTCACCAGAGTCCAAGGTCCAAGGATACATGGTCTGTCCCTATTCTAGAGCTAAGAGGAATTCTGCTGAGTCTCTAGGGTGTTAGAATGGCTCACAAGCCAAGAAACCTGAATACCAGAGATGTCGGACACTTCTGAAAGGCCATGGGGATACTGGGTGGCCTTGACGTGCCTGTTAACCTCTGTGAAGGGCATTGGGGGAGGTTTATAGATTATGAGGGGACAGGGAAGGAGCCTGGAGAGGAGCTCCAGGAGTGGAGATGGACTTGGGGACGGTTTTGGTTTGGGTTTCGAGGGGGAATTGTGTAACTCCCACTTGAGAGAGAAACCAGCGAGGACTCTCTCTTCCCAGAGCCCCCACTTTCCAGCCCTTCTCCCCTTTAACCAAGAAAATTCAGGGCTTGGAAACCCCTGCAATGTCAGCCAGCCCGACTCTCATTTAATAGTTGGGAGCCTGGGACACAGAGACAAGAGGTGACTTGCTCAAGGGAGGACCAGGAAACTAACCTCCCCCGCCTTCCATCCACCCTACCCCACATTCCTCTCCCGGTACCATGCTGCTGGTTTACCCCCGGAAGGCTCCAGTGCACGGTGGCTTGTTTTCCAGATGAGTCCCTGGGACAGAGCCACTGGCTTTGCCAGGTCTCCCCCAGGACCCTAGGTCAGTTCAAAGCACCAGAAATGCCTGGGTGAGCCCAACTAATCCTTGACAGAACAGTGTCTCCATGTCTGGACCAGGTGGCTACTTCTGAGTTCCCTGGAGAAAGCATACTGGCCCATGGTTCCAGCCCCGCCTCCCTGTCCCTCTTACAGTCTAACCTTGGCTAGTCACTTTATCCAGTCTCAAGATCCTTCTCCACTGGGAAACGGAGAAAGAACTGGCAGCCAGGCTGCATGCATGCAGTTGTGTAGGCGGGGCACTGGCAAAGGCAGTTGACCAAGGGAATTATTGGGGCTGTATGTGTCGAGATCCCATCTTTGGTGTTCTTTCAGCAGTGTGCAGAATGATGGTTCTGAGGGCACAGCTTAACGATGCTAATAGAAGAGACCTCGGTGCTTGTATAGGCTGGTTCTCTTCTTCAGCATTCTCCTCTGGCCCTTATCTCGTCCCCTTTCCTCCTCTCTCCAGGGCTCAGCCTGCTGCTGCTACCCTTGCTTCTGGTACGAGCTGGTGCCTGGGGATTCCCAACAGGCCCCCTGAGCCTTCAGGAGCTGCGTAAGGAATTCACCGTCAGCCTGTACCTGGCCCGGAAGCTGCTCTCCGAGGTTCAGGGCTACGTCCACAGCTTTGTGAGTTTCCCTAGTGCAATCGGGTCTGGAGGTGGGGACACCCCCAGGTCCCACTGGCCCCTACTAACAGAACCTACCCCTCAGGCTGAATCTCACTTGCCAGGAGTGAGCCTAGACTTCCTGCCCCTGGGACACAATCTCGCCAATGTCTCCCTGACCTTCCAGGCATGGCGTCACCTCTCTGTGAGTGAAAGTCAAGGGCTGGGGAGACTGGCAGTCAAGCATAGAACGTGGACGGGGTTTGAGTGGGCGTGGACCTGCAGGCTTGTGTGGTTAATGTGTATTTAATATGCACACATCTGCCTAATCAAGGTGAAGCTGGAAGCCTGGGAGAGTGGCACACATCTGCAATCCTGATACTTGGGAGGCAGAGACTTGAACTTGAGAGAGAGAAGGGTGGGAGAGGATCAGAGAGGGAGAAGGAGCACGCTGAAATCTGAAATTGAGAACAGGAAGATGGCGAGGAGGACTCTGGGTGGGGCTGGGATCGTGACGGGGTTGGGAATGGAGGTAGATGTGGGAGAGACAGGCTGGTGACTGTGGCGGGAGTGGGGTCAGGTCGGAGATGAGAAGAGGGGTGTGGATATGGGTGAAAATTGGGCTGGGGATGGAAGAGGATGTGGAATGGGCAAACAGTGATTCTGAGAGTGCAGGAGGGAGGTGGATTTGGTTTAGGAATGGGGATGAGGTGGGAAAGGAGGTAGAGATGTTGGAAATAGGGTGTGATTGATTGGTCGGATGGGGTGGTCAAGGAAGGAATGGAATGGAGGGAGGGAGTTGAAGCTAGAGAAGAGTATGGACTAAGGAGATGGGACCAAGCTCAAAAACAGTGATGGAAGAACATGAGAATAATTCCAAGAAGGCCAGCAAGATGGCTCAGTGGAGAAAGGTGCTTGCTGCCAAGGCTAACAGCCTGACGTCAATCCCTGGGACCCACATGGTGGAGGGGGAGAACCCAATCCAGCAAGTTGTTCTCTGACCACAGGCATGTGCGCAGGTTCACATACGCACACGCTATAAACAAACACAGTGTAATTTTTTGTTTGTTTGTTTTTAAAGACGGTTTCAACTATTTGCTCTGGCTGTCTTGGAACTCACTATGTAGACCAGACTGACTTGGAACTCACAGAGATCTACCTGCCTCTGCCTCCCAAATGCTGAGATCAAAGGCGTGTGCTATCATGTCTGACATAATTTTGTTTTGGTTTGTTTGTTTTTGTTTTTTTTTTTTTTTAAGACAGGGTTCCTCTGTGGAGCCTTGGCTGTCCTGGACTCACTTTGTAGACCAGGCTGGCCTTGAACTCACAGAGATCTGCCTGCCTCTTTCTCCCTGGGTATATAACAAATTTTTTTAAAGAGTAACCTTAAGGATGAAATGAAAGCTGGAACGAAAGAGACCCACGTAAAGATAGGACTGTCTCTTGACCATTCCCCTTCCATTCAACAGGACCCAGAAAGACTCTGCTTTCTCTCCACCACACTTCGACCCTTCCCTGCCTTGCTGGGGGCGCTGGGGACTCAGAGGACCTGGACCAGCTCAGAGAGAGTGCAGCTGTGGGCCATGAGGCTGGATCTCCGGGACCTCCACAGGCACATCCGTTTTCAGGTAGAGTGCCCACTACACCCCTGACCCTCGGGGATCTACAAGCAAAATGGGCTCTTCAGCTCCCTTTTGAAACACCCCTGGGAATCAGAGGAAGCCAGCTCCTATGAGTGAGTAGCGGCTCCAGAGCCTGGATCTGCCCAAAAGTCTCTGCCTGCTCTTGAGGGTTGGACTCCAATGACTCCTGGGACACCCAGGACAAACCCTGCCATCATCCGGACCAATATCTGTTCTCCTTTCCCTCCAAATCTGACATCACTCAGATCCTCCCAGATATTTCAAAGGGCAACAGAAATTTTACCTTAGTAAAGAGTAAAAAGAGTATAGAAAATGCAAGCAAGAGCAGGAAGTAGCTCTGTCACCTGGTCTGATCCTTTAAAAAAAAAAAAATCCTTAAGAACAGAGAGGAATTTCCTGACCAGTGATCCCCAGGGCAGTCCTGGGGGAGTCCACCTAGTTCATAGTGCCTTGCTCTACCGTGACCAGTTTAGTTAAAAATGTGTGTGTGTGTGTGTGTGTGTGTGTGTGTGTGTGTATGTGTGTGTGTGTGTGTGTAAGGGGGCTGTAGAGATGGCTCAGTAGTTAATGGCTCTGGCTGCTCTTCCAGAGGACCTGGGTCCAATTCTGAGCACCTATGTGGCAGCTCACAACCACCATGTAACTCCATTTCTAGGGATTCTAATGCCTTTTCTCACCTCCTTGGCATCGGGCATGTAGGAGGTGCGCAGACTTACATTCGGGCAAAACACTCATACGCATAAAATAAATTTAAGTCTTTTTTTTTTTTTAATCTTGTAGGCCAAGTATGGTGATACATTCTTGTAGTCCCAAACATTTGGCAGTCTGAGGCAGGATTAGGAATTCAAGGCCATGCTGCGATTACATAGGAAGAGTCTGTAAAAGCGAACAAACACAAGAAACGTAGAGCTGGAGAGATGGTACAGCAGTTAAGAGCAGTTGCTGTTCTTGCAGAGGAGAAACACTCACAAATGCCCAGTACTCTCTCTGGCCTCCAAGAACACCAGCCAGGCAGGCAGTGCAACATACATACATACATACATACATACATACATACATACATACAGGCAAAATGCTCAAACACAGAAAATAAAGATGAATAAATCATTAAAATTTGACTGGAGTGATAGCTCAGCACCCACAGGGGAAAAAAAGAACACCAGGTTTAGATAAAGACTTGCCTAGATTAGATAAAGACTTTGACACCAAGGGTCAGAGGTAGAGACTCCCGAGAGCAATCATGGCTCATGGGTGTCATTAGGAGGTGGTGTGCAAGAGAAGGTACAGAGACTTCCTCAGGTTCTTCATGTGGCCCATGGGTCTCTCCTCACAGGTGCTGGCTGCAGGATTCAACTGCTCTGAGGAGGAGGAGGAAGAGGAGGAAGAGGAGGAAGAGGAGGAAGAAGGGCAGGAGCTGCTCCTAGGGGCTCTGGATGGCCCCAACCAGGTGTCATCCCAAGTGTCCTGGCCCCAGCTGCTCTATACATACCAGCTCCTACACTCCCTGGAGCTTGTCCTGTCTCGGGCTGTTCGGGACCTGCTGCTGCTGTCCATGCCTGGGCACCCGGGCCCAGCTTGGGAGTCCTAACACCTAGCTTCCAGCCCTCTGGAGTGACCTTTCAGCTCCCTTCCCTCACCCATGAAGACTCTAAGGCTGGAGTCTGGCCAACGGTCTCCAGCTCATTTGCCTTAGCTCAGGCAGGGCTTCACTAGTTCCCAGCCCTGGCCCAGTAACTTAAAAGCCCTCTGGTCCTTACCAGGTATTTATTTCTTGGATATTTATTTATTTTTAGAAAACGATGGTTTATTTATTTGTTTCATTCTTGAGTTAGGCCAACATGCTGGGTACCTAATAAAGCCCTCTGGCCCATTTTGTACCTCCGCACCGTTTCACAGGAATGTCTGACATCCAAAGGGCAGGGCACCTTGGGAAGGAGTCAAGTCAGTCAGAAGCTTCTGGCGACCCATAAGCTCTCTCTACTCCCAAATTCTTCAAGTTCCTGGGAACCGGTCCCCAGCTCCAGCCTGGAGGTTACCATGGTAACCCGCAGAGTTGTGATATTGAGCTATCATTTTGGAAACTCAAAGCAACTGGTCAGCTGCCCCATGGCCATCAAATCCAAGAGGTGCCCTTCGGCCCCTTGAGCCCCTTTTCTTGGGGCTGGCTTCTACCCCAGAGGTGTGTAACCTTCCACAGCTCTCAGTGGGGTTCCGTCTTGGTGGTTAATTGGGGAAAAGGTGATCATACATGGAGAATTTAGGGGATAATAGTCTCCCCAACCCTGTCTTCCTTGTAGTCAGTCTTCAGAGTAGCTGAGACGGATGGGAAAGATGACCAGGAAGGAGAGCCGTGATAGAGGCCAATGGAGCAGCTCACACTGGGCAATCAGACTCCTTAGATTCAGCGTCTTGAGAAACATCTAGCTGTGTTCCAGTGGCTGAGGGAGTCAGGGGTGACCAGGATCCAGCAGAGCCTTCTGGCCCCACTTAGAAGGCCCTGTCACTGTGGCTTTGGCCGGCTCAGTCGGGCTTGCAGTTCCTGCATCATGCCCGGATGAGCAAAGCCAAACCTGTAGAGAGAACAGATTGATGCGAGCTGGACCCCAGGTGCCCACAGCCTCCTCACCAGCCCAGGTGTAGTGCCCCTGTGTTTACCCATGTCCCAGCACTTTTCTCTTGGCTGGCACTGGAGTCCCTTCGGGCCTTGTAGCACTTGGCTCTGGAGTTTCCTCTGGCTGAAGAGGGGAGGGCTCGGGGAATGAAGGCTCCTCCTGGGGCTGGGGGCTGGGAGGGTCATAATGCGGCTCAGGAGCAGAGATACGACGGAAAGAGGGCCTCGAGCGCCGCCGTGAGGAATTTCGTGAGAGAAGCACACGACTCCGAGGGACAGAGACATCCAGGCGGGACCCAGGGAGCAGGGCCTGCAGGGCAAGGGACACAGAAGACTGTGAGGAACTGACTTCCAGGTTCTGCTTGTCCCTCTTGGGGTCCTGTTGGAGCCCTCACCTCATGCCAGTCGCTGTGAGCATCCCCTGGGTCACCTGCTGGGGCCTCAGCTGATTCAGAGGAGCCAGGCACAGCTACTGTGGGGATCTGGTGTGCCAGCTGCGTCTCCTGGCCTGAAGATTCCTCCAGACCTTCAGGGTCGGCCTCCTTGATCTCTGTCCTGTGTCCTGCGCTCACAGCATCCTCCACACCTTGTAGCTTTTGTGTCTCTCCCTCGGAGTCCTGGGTCTTCCACTCTCCTGATGGCCCTCCCCCAGCCTCTTCCTCCAGCCCCTCAGTCTCTGTGGTGGTTATGGACCCCTCTGCTCTCTCTGCTCGGGAGCCTAAAGTCACATTGTCCGCTCCCCTTACTCCTTCTGCCATTACAGATGTCCCCACCTCGGCCTGCTCTCCCTCTCCAGTCCCACCAATTTCTCCGATGTCACAGCTGGACACCTCCTCTGTTGAACCCTCCAAGCCAATGTCCTGCCCACTTCGCTTCTCTGCAGCCTCCTCCAGCTCGGTGCCTCCTGCAGCCTCCCCTCTGTCTTTGGAATGCCAGTCTTTCCCAAACTCCCTTTCTGGAGCTACCCCAGCTTCCCATCTTGGTCCTTCCTCAGCCCCCACAGTCCTGACACCCAGAATAATCTCAGCAGCCAAAGAACTGGTCTGTGTAGCCTCCCTGTCCTGCAGACTCAGAGCCGCCTCCTCCGGCCCCCTCTTCCTGGACGCTCTCTCTGCTTCCTGAGGCACTGGAGCCTCCCCCTGGCTAGCCTTGTCTTCTGTGGGCTTGGGTTCTCCCACTGACTGGCCTGCCCCTGTCTCCTCTACTCCCCACCCTGGGACCTCTGGCTGTTGGGCCTTCTGACCTCCTTCAGCCTGGATCTCCACTGCCTGCCCTGTTACAATCTCTTCCTCACCTACTTCAGCATCTGCTTTTACCTTCTGGGTATTTCTGTTGTCCATATCCCTTCTCCAGTTTCCCCAGGCTTCTAGCTCAGGACCTGCAAACTCCACAGGCCTGGGATATTCCTCCAAGCTTAGCATGCCTTCTGAACTCAGTTCTGGAGCTTTCCTAGTCATTTCCTGACACCCCTGTCCTTCCTCAAGTTGTGTGGTCAAGGTCTGGGAACCTCTTATCACCTCAGCGTCCTGTCCCTCGGTGACCTTGACTCTCAGTACCTCTACCTCTGCTCTCATCTGCTCTGCCTCAACCTTCTCTCCCATAAACAATTCCTCAGGCCTGGCTTCTGGAGATTCTTCCCAGTCAGGCTCATTTTTAGCCTCCTTAGCCAGAACTAGCATAGCCTCTGTGGCCAGGTAGCTCCTTTTCTCCTCAGAGGACTCTTCTGCCTGCATCTTCTCTTCGTTTCTCATCCCATTATCCCCCATGGCTAAGTCTTGCCTCCCCTCATCCTCAAGGCTGTCCCCTGTCTCCTGGCCTCCCACAGCCTCCCTCCCTGCTATCTGGCCCTCAGTCATCTCCTCGGTTCTCTCCATCTCGAGAGTCTGGATGAGAAGCCTAACTTCATCCTCTCTCTTTTCATCAACTTCATCTTGCTGGTCTCCCTTGCAAGTCTCTTCTAGGACCCAGCGTCTCCCAGGAGCTTCTGGAATGTTGTCTCCTTGGTCCGGCCCATATTCTGCTTCCTGAATTCCTAGGCTATCAGCCCCCTCCCTGCCTGACACTGCCCAGGCCTCTCTAACCAACATGGCCCAGTCCTCAGATTCTGCCCCTGGGGCTTGTGTCCCCTGTCCCCTTGCACTATGGCCATCCCTCATTGCGACCACCCTCTTCTCTTCCCTGTCAGGCCCTCTGGCCTCAGACCCCTCAGTTTTTGCAGCTACCTCCTGGGCCACCCAGTCTGTCTCTTTGCCATCCTCTGATACATTCTGCCCATCAGTGCCAGCATTTCCCTGAGGCTCCCCGTGCCAGGTTGGCTGTGACTCCGCCCCTCTGGCCATCCCTGGCTCTGCTGCTCTGACCACCTCCTCCTTTTCTTCCTTCTGCTCACAGGTTCTCAGGGGCTCTCCACTGCTCACTTCCTCCTCACTGTGATCCCAGATCTCCTGGGCTCTGACACTGGTCCTGTCTTTGTGAATCCCAGGCCCAGCCTCGGGCTTCAGTGGAGCACTTGGCTCCTGGCCCCTGGCCCCCTCAGCTGCCTTCCTGGACCCAGTGTCCTGGCTTTCTGCTTGGCACCTTGTGGAGCTGTCTGCTCTCCACCCCTGGGTCTGTTCTCCAGCTAAACTTCCTTCTTGGCATCTTATAGTCTCTTCAGGTACTCCTACCCTCTCGCTCTGTCCACTTCTAAGTGCCTCCAGGTCCTCCTGGGCTTCCTCCTCCACAACCTTCCCTGAATCTCCTGCAGCCACCTCCCCCAGTTCCTCAGCTGCCTGCGGCTCCCTCTCTACCGTGGGGACCGCGTCTCCTACGAGGTAAGACACAAAAGCACTGAAGGAATCCTAGAAGAGAAGAAAGCGAAGTGAAGGCACTCCGGGGAGGTCAGCAAAGCCCAGGTAAGAAATCGGGGATCTAGAAATCTGCTGACGGATTGAGACAGGGCGTGAATGCGCTTGTGCAGGTGGGATATTGAAACCCAGGAGACTGGGCTAGGAGTCTGGCTGACTGTAGGAAAGGGACCTAGAGCTGGAGGAGAGGCTCCAGGGAAGGAGGAAAGGTGAGACCACAGGGAATGGGTGGAAGTGCCTGGCATCTCTTTGCCCCCTCTCACCAGTGTGCCCCTCAAGGCCTGATGCAACCCAGGGAGGCGAAGCCGGAGAAAATCCATTCTGTGGGTCTCTGGGTGTCCAGAAAGCTCACAATGACCATCCGTCCCCACCCACTAATGCAAGCCAGTCCTCCCCGGCACCCAAGACACTTCCTCTTCCCCTGTCTCTCCCTGACGTATCTCCACCCCAGGCCCTGCGCACCTCCCCCATGCTCATGAGTGACTTCACGAGGGGCAGGAGAGCGGCCGCAGTGTCCAGGTGACTCAGACTCAGGTGCACTTGGAGCGGATCAGGCCAGGAAGAAAAGAGTGGGGAGAGGAGACCTCGGAATTGGGTGTTGGGGGAGGGGGCTTGTGGCAAGTGCAGCCCGAGTGACTCAGGTCATGTATTCACACCTCAGCCATTTCCGTCTCCTCCAAGCCACAGCCTGCAACGAGAGGAAGCTAGGGTTTGTGGTTCCTGATTCATCTGGGGAGAAGCCGAAGGAGGGAGGATAAGACTGACTAGTGGAAACCCTGGCTTCCCATTTCCACGACGTTAACACTTTGCTGTGGATGAAAGCTCTGGGACTCGGTGGCTCCAACGCCCATATCCTTACCTGTGGTTATTCTTGTACTGTGGTCACACTGTCAGTCACAGTGCGACTGACTCTTTAAGGACATAGGCTGCAGAATTTCTAGAGCCTGCGTGCGTGGGTAGCAGGATCCCTTTTGTCCCTGGTTGAGCGATTTGGGAAGGCATATTTCAGACAGCGAGCTTAATGACTGGTGGTTGAAGAAAGCTGGTGGAAGGGGGCAGAGGCTACTAGAAACCATAGCAGAGAAACAGGCTTGATGAAGGATGGCCAAGATGCTGCCCTACCGCTGAGAGAAAGGGAAGGGACTCCTTATTTGGGGCTATCTGAGGTGACTATCCAACCGCCCTCCTCCCCTCCTCCTCCTAATTTCCAATTAGGTCAACTGGCTGACCACGCAGAACAGGAAGAACGGCCACAGCAGCTTGCCCAGTGAACGCAGCACCTCTGCTCTATTTCTTACTGCTGACTGGGTCTCCAAAGACACCTAAAGGTCCAACGCAGGATCTTCGGTTAACATTTCAAGGAGGGGGCGTTGGTTTTCTCCTCTGTAACACCAGGGGTTGGGCTACTTTCGTGGTATTTTTTTTGTTCTGGGATAACATGACAACGGGAATTTCTTGGATATTGCCAAAGATAATTCATGAAAACCTGTTTGGTGGCTGTTTATCTTTAAGCTTTCTAGGCAAGCGATACCGCCTCCCAGCTACTCTAAGATAAGTAGATAGGTCTTTACAAGTCTGTAAGAACAACAGATAAGGAGACCCGAGGCAGGTCGCCTTTGCTCCAAGCAAGGCTTGTCCTTGGCAAGTTTGGGTGGGTCTTGGGGTCAGCTACTTAGGAAAGTAGCCACCTTTGTTTCAGGCAACTGAGGGCAGCAGGAAAAGCAGCTGACGCCTCCCGCGCCATGACTAGTACTGGCACACTCGGTCGGCGTCTAGAGCGCCGCTTCCACGGCCCTATTTGCGGTTCCCGTCGGCTCCAGTTCAAAATCGGTGCTTCCGGGGTTCCTCCGAACTCTCCTTTTCTCTACTCTCCAAAGTTTGAGAAGGCCGAAGGCGAAAAGAGGACCCGGAAGTAGGGAGCAACCTTCCGAGCACGTGATGGGAGATCCAGGGGTAATGTCACGTGACCTGACAATCTGCTATTCTACCTTGCGGCGAGCTCAGCTGCTCTTAAAGGTACAGGCCTGGGGGCAGGGGCTTTGCCTTTGGAGGGGCCGGGGGCGGGGTCCGATGGGTCGGGCGTGGGTGGACACGAGATGGCGATCTGGGGGTCTGTTGATGGACAAGTCCTACGTGGCAGACAGCGGGACCTGGGACTGTCCACGGAGCTTTGATCCCTCGCACCCACCTGTCCCAGACTTTCATCTGTTCTCTTGAAGCGAACCCCGAACACACGCTGACTTTGGGCCCTTTGGGGAGCCCTAAGTCAATGCTATGGGAAGCTCTGCGGGCTCGTGGAGGCGCCTTGAGGATTCCGAGAGTGAGTGCTCTTGTCGGTTGTCTTGGGAGTGACCATCCCTGCCCCGGCTCTCCTGAGGAGCTCGGCTAGTGGCCCAGCCCCCGCAACGGAATACATGACACTCGGGGGGGGGGGGGGGGGAGCCTTCCCGTACCTGAGTGGTGGTTCATGCCGGTTCTTCCTCCTAGGGGAGGAGACCGACCCAGAGCCCCGGGCCCCTCCGTTGGATAGTCCGAGTGCCCACTGGAAAAATGCAGTGGGCTTCTGGTAAGTAGCCTGAGAATTGTGCAAAAAAAGCAAAGCGCCGCTGAAGCGAAGAGAGTAAGAGTAAGCTGCAGAAGGCAATTGAATCCGCAAATACTGAATCAACTGTGAGCTTCCAAATTCCATTAAATTACCACCCTCACCTATTGGTCAGAGCCTATTAAATGTTTTCCTCCAACCAACTCAGTCGCAACTTTGTTTTCTTTTATTTTTATGGGAAGGCCTTACGTATCCCAGGCCAGCTTCAAACTCTACAGGCAGTGGAGGCTTGCCCTAAATTTGTAATTCTCCCGCGGTTGCCTCCAGGTGCTGCCATTACAGGCCTGTGGCACCGTGCCTGACTCACCCAGTGTTTTTGTTTGCAGTGCAGGGTATTAAAAGTGGGGCCTTCTGTGCTCGCGGAGCAGAGCGCTCTACAAAGCTGAGCCCTGTCCCCAGCCGGTTGGTTTGCCCCTAGCGCTGTGCATAGCTCTGGGAGGTGAAAATAAGAACGATATGTTTCGTGAGTCCAGAGGAGCCCTGGTGGTATTTTGATTCCTCTAGCGCACTTGGAGATCGGCAGGTGAAAACTTGTGCCCATTTTACATAGGAATACTCCAAGGCCACAGATATAGAAAGCAACTGATTTTGGTTTCAAGCCCTGATGCGTTTCCATTGTACCGTAGTGTGTCAGTGGATGAGAAATGGCCCCCGGAACTGATTCTTAGTGTAAGCATAGAAAAAAGGGTGTGCAGGTATACCTTCCGGTAGAGGGCTTGGTGCTTGTTGCTCTAATATCAAAGCCTCGGTTTCACTGATGGTGGAGAAAAATAAATAAAAATAGGTTTGAAGGGTACAGGTAAGGGAGAGATCTTTAAGGACTGTGGGTGGACGGAAAGGCAGAAACGTAAGTCCCGCCCTCGTTCTAGGATCCTGGGTCTTTGCAATAATTTCTCATACGTGGTCATGCTGAGTGCCGCCCATGACATCCTGAAGCAGGAGCAGGAGTCTGGAAACCAGAGCCACGTAAGTGAGCCCCTCCTCACCACCACCCCGTTGTTAGTCCCCGTGGGAGTACCAGGGACTCACCCAGGGCCAGGAAAACTCACGGGGTAGCCAGGGGTGGGGAAAGGGAGCTAAAGAGTGCAGTGAGTACCAGGTTGGTGAACTCAGGGAACCAGCTGGGTAAGACCTGACTTTGTGGTTTGTTTTGTCCCCTGGCCCTGTTGGCCTTTGGGGCTAGGTGACCATTGTGAGCCCTGTCCTGCGCATTGTAGGTGTTCATTGGCACCTGGATTTCTACAAGAATGCTTTGAAAACTATGTTATGTCCACCTTGGGTGGCTATCTTTGGCCTCTGGGCCACTAGTTTGAGATGCTTATAAATGCATTCCTCCAGTGTACACAGAAAAACAAAGGCAATAAGGGCCCCGAGAAGCCCATGCCTACCCACAGCTGTCAAGTTAAGGCAGAGCTGGGACTGGGCCTTGGTTAGCTTCCTGCCTCTGTGTAGGAAAGACTGTCTTCTCTCCCATAGGTGGAGCCAGGCCCAACACCCGTGCCCCACAACAGCTCCTCTCGATTTGATTGCAACTCAATCTCCACAGCCGTGAGTGCCCATGCGAGCCCCTCGAGCCCCTCCCCCCCATCCACACCTTTGCTCCGTTATTTCCTATGTGTCCAGTTGGAAGTGACAGGATTGCAGTGATCCACACTGTCAGTAGCTCAGGTGACCCTCTCGGTAGTTTTATAAATTAAGCGCTGCAAGGCCCCTGTTTGGGATGAGGAGACTGAAGCTCAGAGTGTGTAAATGCCTTCACACCCATCAGAGGAGCCCCAGAGCTGGCAAGAAACTCAGATCTGTCTAACCCCAGAGCCTGAACTTGCATCAGGTCTCGCTGGCTCCTCCACTGGGTTGGGAAGGTTGTCTCTGGGGGGAGGGGGGGTCTAGGCTCTTAACCATGTTCTCCTGTCTCAGGCAGTGCTCCTGGCAGACATCCTTCCCACCCTCATCATCAAACTCCTGGCTCCTCTTGGCCTTCATTTGCTGCCCTACAGGTCTGGGTCAGGGTGGCAGGAAGAAGGCAGAGTGGGGAGGAAGCGGGAGGCTGGAGAGTCCAGCATGGAGGGAGACTTCTGAGTCCCTCCCCATCTTTCCTCAGCCCCCGGGTGCTTGTCAGTGGAGTTTGTTCTGCTGGAAGCTTTATCCTTGTTGCCTTTTCTCAGTCAGTGGGGTTAAGCCTATGTGGTAAGTATGCCGCTCTGAGAGCCTGTGCTGTGGGGGGAGTCTCCCCAGCTTCCCAGAGTTAAAGGATATGTCTGCAACCCCAGGAGACTGCTAGTGGTGTGTGTGTGTGTGTGTGTGTGTGTGTGTGTGTGTGTGTGTGTGTG